TCTCGTGCAGACACCGGAGGTGACAAGGGCCACAGCTTGACGGGACCCCCGCACTTTGCGTGGAGGGGGCCCAAGGGGCAGGGCCCGGGCCTTTAGAGGGGGTTCTGGTCTGATCTGACCGCAACACTCACAAGTCACGCAGCTCGGGCCAAGTGCTCCACCCTCATCAGCCAAAATGGACTGAGCCTAAAACAGACGCCCCTGGGCTGGGGGTGAAGGGGGCCAAGGGGAGACTGCAGGTGAAGTGTCATCTGCTTCGCCCTGGGAAACTTCTAGACGGTGGGGAACTTGTACGCCGGGTGAAGGCATTTCAGCCGCGTCTCTCCTGCTTGTACATCAACAGCCTCTGTGTGGACGACAAATTTCTCCAGACGAGTCACTAAAGACCTCGCTGGGCCCGGGTGGTGACTTTCTGGAGCTCACTGTCCCAGGAGCACAGCGGCCAGTGCACAGGTGTCTGTGGAGCGAACGCTGATCCTTCTAAGGCGGGACATTCACCTGCACCGTGGGGACGCGGGGCCTCCACAGCGCAGGCAGGCCACACGATCAGGAGAGTCCCCAAGCGCTTTGCGCACGGTAAACGCTCTATTAACGTTGGCTGCTGTTACTTATAACGGGGGTCTGTGTCTCCGTGAAACCCTGAGACTCCGCGTGTAGCGCCTCTGGCCTCCCCACCCCCATCGCCAAGGCCGAGGCCGGGGGATGAGCAGGACCCTGAAGCTTCTTCAGCTGAACGTTCGTTTTCACATCAGCTAGTGAGGGTCGTGCCTGACACCACCTGATGGGGGGGAAAGAAGAAACACGGGGACAAGGTAGGGGCTCACCTAGAACACTCTCGGCCTGGCCTCCGCCTCTTTCCCGAGTCACGTCGCCAGTGGCTCACATCACAGGGCCTCCCTCCTCCTCACCTTCCCATCCTAACTCTGTTTCCCCTCACACAGCGGTTCTCTGAATCCAAGAAGTTCCCACAAGGTGAAAAGCCTCCCAGACTCGGGTGACACCGGTAGGGTGGCCCCTGGGCAGGATCGAGACTCGGGGCCCAAGGCGAGCCTCCCGAACCGAATGGAGACGACCCCACCTGGAAGAGGGAATTCACTACACGTACGCGGCGTGACCCACACGAGGCCTATCGCACTCCCCTGAAAGCCAGGAGGCCACTGTCCCTGTGGCTACTCCGCTGGCCCTGGAGGTCAGGATGAAAACAGCAGGGGCTCTGGGGCCAGGACGGAGACCGGCAGCCAGTCTCCACCTTCCCTCCCTGAGGATGTCCCCGCAGGGGGCGGGGCCGCGGGCCTGGCCGAGGAAAGATCCCGCAGGGAAAGGAATTCACTAACCACAACGCTTCTATTCCCGGTTTCCACCAGATGTCTGCCTTCCCTGTTCTTTCAAGACTTGGGCCAAGACAACGCAAGTCAGGGAGGAAAAGACCCCGCCTCCCCTTCCCCAGACGGGTACTCCAGAAGGTGCTCAGCACGAGGCCTCATGCTACGGCCCAGGGCCCCGCCACCCAGCGGACACACGCACTGTCCAAAGCTCATCGGACCAGGCCGGCGACGTGGTGGATGTGAACCAGGCGCGCGGCCAATCCTTCCCCCGACAGATGAAGTTGGGGGCAGGAGACACAGCCAAGGGAATTGCAAAAAAAAAAAAAAATTCAATTCACTTGGAAATGTGATTTTATCCATCCGAAAGAAGCCACTGCGTCTATTCTGAAAACCGCGGCTACTCTCACTGCGCGAGTCTGTGTACCAAGCGCACCGGCTCGTTACCTGTATCATCTTAACCCCGTTTCCTTTATGGGGAGGGGACTGTCTTCCCCCATTTACAGGTGGGGAAATAACCTCAGAAAAACTAAGTAGCCCATCGAGTCACTCAGCCTGTCTCTGGAAACGGGGGGTCTCCAACCGGGGCCCACGGGCGCACCCCTACCCATGAAAGCATCTCAGGTCAAAAAGAGAATGTGTCATCCTCACGCTGTTAAAGGGGCCACAGGCGGGTCCTGCCCCTGCGCGAGCCGGGCCCCCCACGAGGTGCTGGAAACGGAAAGACCGGCAGGGCACAGCCGGCCCTTCAGCAAGCGCCAGATACTCAGCTCAGATCACACTCGGTCTCCGCAGTAACTGTAGGGAGCACAGCTTCTGCCCTCGCCCATTTCACAGACGAGAAAAGCCAAGGTTCACGAGGCTAAGCCGTAGGTCACGCGTCACATAGCTCAGGATTCGTGGAACTTGGCTTGTTTTTTTAATTGTCACTGAGGATATGTTTTTTTAGAGAGAGGAAGGGGGACCCAGGGAAGCAGAGAGGGAAAGAGAGAGGGGGGAACAGACTGACAGACATCGATTGGCACGTGCCCTGACCCCGGAGAGAAGCCCACAACCCTGGACTGGAACCCCGGGAGCCTCATCCTGGGGCCTGCGTGACTGACCACGAGGGGGCGGGTTCTAGGAGGCGCCCACCCCAGGTCAGAGCCGCGGGGAGTGTTGCATAAACAGGCCTCTGGTCGCCGTTTACTCAAGAGCGGGTTGTGACGTTCTCGGTGCAGTTTAGGAAATAACTCGGCAGGAAACCAGCGGACGGGACAGCAGGCCCGAGCGGCGCAGGCAGCCCTGCAGACGGCTCAGAGGAACACGCGCCGTCCGGGGCAGCTGTCCCGCGCCTGCTTCCGTGCTCGCCGCGCTGCAGGGTCTCCAGCGCCAGGGCGGGGAGCTGGGCCAGGAACGCCTCCGGCCCGCCCAGCCACCCTGGCACCGTTTCCAACCACCGAGACGGCGTCAACTTCAAACTACACTTGCATTTGGAAAGGCGGTGATCCCTTCCAACAGAGAGGTCTTTTTCTTCATTTTAGGGAAATAAAAATGTGTAAAGTGTGCCGCACCAGGATGGAAGGGACGCTTTGGAAAATGTCTGAATCCTCACTGCCCAGGTGCCAAGGGGGCCAGGACCTCACAGGCCGGGGCAGCAGCTGGCAGAGAGAGGGAGGCGCCGGGGCCTCGCCTGTGTGCGGGACCTCGGCTGAGCACAGGGATGGAGGCTGCCCTGACCTCCATCCACAAGCCTGCAGGAAAGCTGGTGCTGGACCAGATTTCCCCACCAGCTCTAAGCACCGTCCGACCTAAGGAGCCTTTGTTGTTAATTCACGGAGAAAGGCCGTCAACAACCAAGTCCCTGTCGCGTGACCACCTGCAGACCCAGCCGGGCCATAAACGGAGTTCGGTTCTTTCCTAACGACCTCCCATCAGACTGTTGCTTTTATCTCGAAACAGTTCCTCCCAATCAGCCACCAGACTCACATCTGAGCACCCAGTACCTGCACCCCAGAGCCGGGGAAACAGCCCCTGACGGCCCCCGGCGATGACCCTATTTAAGGCTCCACCTTGGCACAGTGCGTGGACAGCTTTCCCAGGCTCCTCCCCGGACTCCGGAGGCCCGTGTGGAGAGTGACGCCAGGGCTCACCCTGGACCCAAGCGCCAAGCTCACAACTCACGGGCCACCTCGGCGTCTCGGCTGCAAAAGCCTCGCCTGGACCCGCTCACCCCAGTCACAGAGCCGGAGGGGACAGCCCAGGCGCCATCCACAGTGGTTCTGGACCCTGGTTGCAAGAGAATTGCCTGGGGCGGGGGGGCGTTTAAAAATCCCGGTGCCCACCTACATCTCACTCCCTGGGGGTGAAACTCAGACTCCGACAGTTCTGCAAGTCCCAGGTGATTCCTCTCACCCGCCACCAGCTGGGACCCCTGCCTTGGAGGGTTGCTGTCCCCTCATAGGGTGGACACCAGCTCCGTGAGCTAAAAAGGCCCACACCACCCTTAGCACACCCCTGGCGCCGAGGCCACCGGTCTTGGCCTGTGGAAAGGTAAACTGAGGCCCACTCTGTTACTCAGAGCGGGGAATTAGTTCTGCGACTGACGACTACAATCGTCGGCTCAAATCCTCCACGTCTGCCGCCTTCAGGACTGTGAGCTGGGAGGAGATAAGGAGGCGGCGGGACCACCGCTGCCTCGAGGGTCCTGTCTCCCGGGCTTGCTGCCAGCCTTCCCTCTGACCAGCCCCCCAGGCGGAACGTTCCTCTGACGGCCTCGTGCCCACTGGATGCAGCCAACGCCAACCTCTTCCCGGTGGCCTCTCTCCACCAAATGTCTGCTTTCTATTTTACCCAAATTTCTTTAGCTTTGATCCAAAAACATCAGTTTCTAAGTCAGCTGACAATAAGAGCTTCTCACTCAAATGATATAATTTGCGAATGGCAAGGTTCAAGCCCTTTGGGACTGAGGCCGTCAGTCCGACACCGAGCCCAGTCACATCCCTCAGCCCCGGCTCCCGTGAGCCACTTGGGGATCCTTGAAAATGCCGGTGTTCTGGCAGCAACCCCCCGAGATTCACGGCTTGGTCTGGGGCGGGGCCCTGAGCGTCTTCAAAATCGCTCCCCGATTAAACTCTGCAGCTAGAGCCGAGCCTCCCCAACCACCACCACGAAAGGCAAAACGATTTCTACCATCTTAAGGTACCAACTGTCATTTAAACACCTCTTGGGACACACTGAGCTACCTCCTGAGGAAGACACCAGATGCAGGAGGCCCGAGGGAAGGCCAGCAGGAGGCTGCCCCGCCTGTCCCTCCGGAGCCTCGTGCCCAGGGTGGTGTCCTAAGCACCGGAGCCCCCAGGGGCACAATGTCCGCAGAAACGACACACGCTCCCTGGACCCGGCCTGTGAGCAACCACCTGGAGAGACAGAGCCGCACACACGTCAGGATTCAGACTGAGCTGGCCTTTCCCGCACACGCAACAGACAAGTGATGGCCCCGGTTAAGGTCATCCCGATCCCGACACAGAACTCACTCACGCGTGTTCAAGAGGTCACAGAGCTCCGAATGCAAACCACACTTTTTAAAAAAATACGTAAAGAAACATTCGACGGCTTTAGAAAACAAAACCACACACAGCAACGCGCTTCATACATTTCCCAGCGAGGCAAGCCGCCCTCTCAAGGTCGCCGCCATACCTCGGAACTTCTTGGGTGGATTGTTCAGGTCCCCCGTTTCCGGCTGCACAACACAGCGATCGTCGACCAGCCTGCAGAGAAGACAAAGGTGAACGCTACATCAAGCCTAAGAAAATAAAACCCTAAGCACTACGCAGAAATCAAACGGCCAGGCCTGTTCCCGGGCCCAGCGCGGACTGCGTGTTCTCCCACCGCCTTCTCCTGCCGGGGGCTGTTGACCCCCGAGGTTCCCCGGCAGGCGCGGAAACCTAACCCAGACACCCAAGCGTCTGCCTCGGCCAAGGCCACCTGTGCCACTGTTCTCTGTGGCTCCTTCCTCCTAACCACGTCCACGATGGACCCGTGCCCAACACGCAGTAAGGCCCAAGCTGGGAGGCCCAAGCAAGGGGCCGGTGCACTCAGCCGTGCGTAGCGGAGGGGCCCACTTCGTGCTCGGCTGTGTGCGAGGCCCCTGCCCGTAGGGAGCTCAAGGTCAGCGTAGGAGCCTCAAAAGCAAACTGAGGGGGTGAATATAACCTCAGGGCTGTAAGGGAAGAAAGAACAGGGAGCCCCCAGGAACGAGCTGTGCCTGAGGCTGTCGGAGCAGCTGGGCGGAGGCCAGGGGAACCGCTGAGCTGGGAGACGAGAGAGAGAAAGGTGGGAGGAGGGAGGCGGGGGCGCCGTGGGAGCAGGGGGCCGCAACGCGTGGAAATAAAAGGGACTGTGGAGCCTCAGAAATGACCAGCGGGGCACGTGGAAAAATTAGAAGTAATCAGCCCGAAATGAAGTGAAGCCCCATGGCTGACGTCCTGAGCCGTCAAACGCACTCAGCTCTTCCGGAGGAGCCAGTTACAGGCTCTGTCCTGAGCAGGCGGAGCAGCGAGGCCGCGAGGCGTGGGGACTCCTGCACGTCCCCAAGGGGCCGTGGCGGGACCGGCTGAAACCTAACCCTCCAAATCCACTCTTACCCAATTATCCTCAAACTTCATGTCCAGGGAACCAAGGGAGAAAAGACGCCTCTGGGGGGAACATCAGAGCCCAAAAGTCAAAGCGGAGCCACCCTCGGGGCACAGAAGGAAAAGGAACCTTCCGGGTCACATGTTCGGAACATTTGCAGAAAACTCCGATGAAGTGAAGAGCCGGGGCCGCCTCACAACTAAGAACAGAGGCTCTGGAGGAAGGGGCTGTGGGGAAAGGGGGCCCCGAGATTTCAGGGCTCGCAGGGGCTCGGCCACTGACTGGAACTGAACCCGGGCGGCTGGAAGGGGGGGGGGTGGCACCATTAAAAGAACTTGGGGCCACGGAGAAAAGATGGGCATCCAGATTAAAGGGGCATCCAGATCAGCGCGGTGGGCAGGGAGGGGCGGTCAGCCCTGCCAAGGGCACCGTTAGGGCCGTGGTCCCGCTGTCCTGAGTCTCCGGGATCCTGGCACCCAGGGCAGATGCCCAACCTCTCTGATCCTGAGGTGTCGCCTCCGTGAACGGCGACATGGGACGGTGCTGTCAGAGCTGGGCGGGGGCTGAGGGCTGATGTAGGTGCAACGCCGCAGGCACAGAGCCNCTGTTGACCCCCGAGGTTCCCCGGCAGGCGCGGAAACCTAACCCAGACACCCAAGCGTCTGCCTCGGCCAAGGCCACCTGTGCCACTGTTCTCTGTGGCTCCTTCCTCCTAACCACGTCCACGATGGACCCGTGCCCAACACGCAGTAAGGCCCAAGCTGGGAGGCCCAAGCAAGGGGCCGGTGCACTCAGCCGTGCGTAGCGGAGGGGCCCACTTCGTGCTCGGCTGTGTGCGAGGCCCCTGCCCGTAGGGAGCTCAAGGTCAGCGTAGGAGCCTCAAAAGCAAACTGAGGGGGAGAATATAACCTCAGGGCTGTAAGGGAAGAAAGAACAGGGCGCCCCCAGGAACGAGCTGTGCCTGAGGCTGTCGGAGCAGCTGGGCGGAGGCCAGGGGAACCGCTGAGCTGGGAGACGAGAGAGAGAAAGGTGGGAGGAGGGAGGCGGGGGCGCCGTGGGAGCAGGGGGCCGCAACGCGTGGAAATAAAAGGGACTGTGGAGCCTCAGAAATGACCAGCGGGGCACGTGGAAAAATTAGAAGTAATCAGCCCGAAATGAAGTGAAGCCCCATGGCTGACGTCCTGAGCCGTCAAACGCACTCAGCTCTTCCGGAGGAGCCAGTTACAGGCTCTGTCCTGAGCAGGCGGAGCAGCGAGGCCGCGAGGCGTGGGGACTCCTGCACGTCCCCAAGGGGCCGTGGCGGGACCGGCTGAAACCTAACCCTCCAAATCCACTCTTACCCAATTATCCTCAAACTTCATGTCCAGGGAACCAAGGGAGAAAAGACGCCTCTGGGGGGAACATCAGAGCCCAAAAGTCAAAGCGGAGCCACCCTCGGGGCACAGAAGGAAAAGGAACCTTCCGGGTCACATGTTTGGAACATTTGCAGAAAACTCCGATGAAGTGAAGAGCCGGGGCCGCCTCACAACTAAGAACAGAGGCTCTGGAGGAAGGGGCTGTGGGGAAAGGGGGCCCCGAGATTTCAGGGCTCGCAGGGGCTCGGCCACTGACTGGAACTGAACCCGGGCGGCTGGAAGGGGGGGGGGTGGCACCATTAAAAGAACTTGGGGCCACGGAGAAAAGATGGGCATCCAGATTAAAGGGGCATCCAGATCAGCGCGGTGGGCAGGGAGGGGCGGTCAGCCCTGCCAAGGGCACCGTTAGGGCCGTGGTCCCGCTGTCCTGAGTCTCCGGGATCCTGGCACCCAGGGCAGATGCCCAACCTCTCTGATCCTGAGGTGTCGCCTCCGTGAACGGCGACATGGGACGGTGCTGTCAGAGCTGGGCGGGGGCTGAGGGCTGATGTAGGTGCAACGCCGCAGGCACAGAGCCGGGAACACCCACGGGACTCACGGAATTAGCACTGTTGCTGTTACTGCTAAAAGGTAGGGAACCAGGAATGGAAGGACGGACGGACTCGGCCAAAATAAAGGGACAGAAGGGCTCTTTGCCAAAAGCCAGGGATGACATTGTACCACGTGAGTTCTGAAAATGAAATGTTCACACAGTGGGGTCCCACAGAGCTGTAATTCCACATCTGAGCAACTTGCTCCTTGAGGCCAGGGCGACCCGAGCGCGAGCCCAGGGCCCTCGCTGCACAGTCCAGAGAACGCGCAGGCTCTAAGCCACGGCTGTGATGGAAAGGGGGGCTCCGGCTGCTATGGGGGGGGCTGCTGGCCTTCCTTCCCCCCATCTCCTTGAGAGGAGCTCCTGCCAAGTCCAGCAGTGGCGCCCGGGCCTCGCGGCTCCTCCACGAGACAGCGTGGACCCCTCCTGCAGCTCCGGAGCCGACCACCCCGACTCCGTCCCGCGTCCGCCGCGGGGGCCCCATCCCTGCTCGCTGCCTCCTCGAGACGATAGAGGCGGGGAGGCTGTGGAGTCAGCGGAGTCTGTCTGCACTGTCACAAGCTGGGTAAGAACTGAAGGAAGCTCAAAAGGGCAAAAACATGATTTACAAGACGCTGTGGGACTCACTGTGGGACTTGCTGTGTGACCTGCAGCATTTGTGACTCTCAAAAGCACGTCTTTGGGTCTGTAAACATCAACCTTAAGCTTTACCCCACATCCTCAGCACGTCCCCCGTCTAGAGGAAGGAAGGGGAAACCAGTAAACTCTGAACTGACGCGGGATTTGGTTTCATGATTCTCACCACCCCTGGAAAAGCCAAGCACAATGGGACCATTCTTATCTTAGAAAAACCAGTTTTTAAGTTGATGTTACGATGCCTTAAACAAATCCCGCCACAGAAGAAGTCAGGTGCTCTTACCCCAAGGTGCTGATAAATCCATTTGTCGACCCCTCGGCGTACAGGGAACAAATGTCTCCGATATGCAGGAAACTCGACATTTTGTCAGACATGTCTTGCTCGAAGATCCTAGACAAAGTAAAACAGGCAACGTTTTCAGAAGGAAAGAAATGTTCAGGGGAGGGGAAAAAGCGTCCCCGAGCGTCAGCTTTGCTTAGCTCCATTTTCCAAAGCGCCCTACTTACAAGTCAAATAGAAACAAGAGTGTGACAGGCAGGCAATTACGTGCGCCAGGCGAGGGCATGTGCCACCACATTTCCCCCGTATATCATCGAGTCTCAGGATGTTCCGGGCACAGCAACGCACGGTCCTAACATGACGGATCTGCTCCCGCCCGCAGGGGACCCTGGATATGAAATGGTGACTATGCCACGGTGGGGACGCCGGCCGAGAACACTGCAGCGGCAGGGGCCGGGCGTCTCCCTGTGAAACACTCACTCGCTCGCTCGGCCTCGGGCGTGAGGCCCAAGGGAACGCTGGTGTAGAACGTGGCCTGGAGGTGCCCGGGCCAGGGACTGAGCAACGGGGTGAACCTCAGGAAGGGAGCCCTGGGGACAGGCCCCGCGCAGCTCCGGCGGCCTCAGAACTCCAGACCGGACGCCCCTCCCGGCTGCCACTTCAGTCTTCCCTTCCCATCCCTCGCCCGAAACACCTGTGGGGGAGCAAGGGCCTCAGCCCCCCCAAGCCCTTCCCCCAACATAGGTGAGAAGAACTGAGGCTCCGGTCGGTCAGGAGCCGGGGTCAGGAGTGCACACAGCTAGTTGGGGGCAGTCCCAGAAATGGCTCATAAGTTCCAGGAAATCTCCACAGCCCCAAATCCATCTCACACACACACACGCTCGTCCTGACTCCTGGGAACAGCCTTCGTCAGGGCCATAAATATTGAGGAGTGGGAGCCGGTTATAAAAAGCTACGCTGACGCTGAAAGCACGAGGTCATTTTCCGTGGGAAGACCTTGCTGGTGTGGACTGCGGGTGGCGCCCGACCGTTCCCGCAGGCACCTGCTGTGTAGACACGCGGCGGATCGGGTCATCCCCAGACTTTCCTGTAAACGCAGACCCCCAGAGCCTCGCTTCCCGTGTCTCCCCTCCGGTTTCCCCGCCACGGGAGCTGGGAGGCAGGGGAGCCACTCGCTCCTGGAATTGCCTTCTGGGGGCCCAGTTGCCTTCCTGGAAGAACTATGCAGCCAGGACCCACAGGAAGGCCCGGGAAGCGCCTCTCCCACCCTGGCAGGAGTGCTGGTCCTGGACACCAGCCCGTAGACAACCCCAGTTCAGCCCTGGCCAGTGTTGCTAAATCGTTAGAGCACTGGCCTGAGCACAAAGGGTCGAGGGTTTGATCCCCAGTCAAGGGCATGCACCTGGGCTGCAGGCTCAATCCCCAGCCCCTGTGCGGGAGACAACCAATTAATGTCTGTCTC